GGAGGCGGAATCACAAGCGCCCCGTGCACGGCTGATGCTGCAGCAGCAGGAACAGGAAGCAAGTCACTGGCAGATGAGGTGCTGCCTGCCACGCTGGCAGCAACAGCAGCAGCAGTAGCGGCGGCAGCAGAGCGGGCGTCGATGGGCTGCATGGCGTGCTGCTGGACGAGCAGCGGGTGCGAGCCCCACTTGCAGGCGGCCTCCAGCACGGGCCGTGGCACCGTGGCCGACACCATCACCAGCTGCCTCTCCGCTCTGCTGCCTGCTGCTGATGCGCTTGTACTCGTGGTGGTAGGCGCAGGCTGGTGAAGGGATCTGGTACAAGGCAAGGAAGGAGGAAATGGAATGGGAGAAGAATGAGACGCATGTTTGTAATCTGCTGTCACTCACCTAATCACTTGCATGCCGCCTCCAGCACGGGTCGCGTCACCATAGCCGACACCATCACCAGCTGCCTCTCCGCCCTCATGCCTGCCGACCCCTGCTGGGTGCACTGCTGGGTGCACTGCTGGGTGCACTGGTGATGCTGGCAGTGGTGGTGATGGGTGCAGGGTGGTGCTGGGTGCAGGGTGGTGAAGGGATCTGGAGAGAGAGAGCGGCATGGGAAGCAGGGGAGGTGGCGATGGAATGAGATGACGAGGGGAAACATGGATGATGTGCATGTAAGGGACAAGTCACATGCGGGTCCGCCAGGACAAAGTCACATGCTGGTCCGCCAGGACAAAGTCACATGCTGGTCTGGTCCGCCATGAGAAATCTGGCGTCACTCACTCCATGCTACCCATCACTCGCCTCACCCACCCACTCATCAGCACCTCCCCACCCACTCATCAGCACCTCCCCACCCACTCATCAGCACCTCCCCACCCACTCATCAGCACCTCCCCACCCACTCATCAGCACCTCCCCACCCACTCATCAGCACCTCCCCACCCACTCATCAGCACCTCCCCACCCACTCATCAGCACCTCCCCACCCACTCATCAGTACCTCCCCACCCACTCATCAGCACCTCCCCACCCACTCATCAGCACCTCCCCACCCACTCATCAGCACCTCCCCACCCACTCATCAGCACCTCCCCACCCACTCATCAGCACCTCCCCACCCACTCATCAGCACCTCCCCACCCACTCATCAGCACCTCCCCACCCACTCATCAGCACCTCCCCACCCACTCATCAGCACCTCCCCACCCACTCATCAGCACCTCCCCACCCACTCATCAGCACCTCCCCACCCACTCATCAGCACCTCCCCACCCACTCATCAGCACCTCCCCACCCACTCATCAGCACCTCCCCACCCACTCATCAGCACCTCCCCACCCACTCATCAGCACCTCCCCACCCACTCATCAGCACCTCCCCACCCACTCATCAGCACCTCCCCACCCACTCATCAGCACCTCCCCACCCACTCATCAGCACCTCCCCACCCACTCATCAGCACCTCCCCACCCACTCATCAGCACCTCCCCACCCACTCATCAGCACCTCCCCACCCACTCATCAGCACCTCCCCACCCACTCATCAGCACCTCCCCTCAGCACCTCCCCTCAGCACCTCCCCACCCACTCACTCGCATGCAACTCCCCACAAACTCACTTTCGCCTTCCCACATGGTCAAGAATGCGCAGCATGTCAAGCCGGAAGCGGTGCGAGAGCAGCATGTCAGCCTCGTCCAGCACCAGCCAGCGGCACGAGTGTGTCGCCAGCCGCCCCGCACGGCTGCTCTCAGCGATGCGCCCCGGCGTGCCCACCACGATGGCCGGCCGGTACTTCTTCAACGCCTCCTCCTGCCGGTGGGGGTTCGCCCCTCCGATCAGCTGCTGCACACATCGCTGATAGGGGGGAAGGAGACGAGGGGGCGAGAAATGGTCGGGGTGAGGAAGAAAAGCGTGAGGAGGAGGGTTCACCCTGCGCCTCACCTTGTGCTCCTCGCCACTCACCTTGTGCTCCTCCCCACTCAACTTGTGCTCCTCCCCACTCACCTTGTGCTCCTCGCCACTCACCTTGTGCTCCTCGCCTCACCTTGTGCTCCTCGCCTCACCTTGTGCTCCTCGCCTCACCTTGTGCTCCTCGCCACTCACCTTGTGCTCCTCCCCACTCAACTTGTGCTCCTCCCCACTCACCTTGTGCTCCTCGCCACTCACCTTGTGCTCCTCGCCTCACCTTGTGCTCCTCGCCTCACCTTGTGCTCCTCGCCTCACCTTGTGCTCCTCCCCACTCACCTTGTGCTCCTCCCCACTCACCTTGTGCTCCTCGCCACTCACCTTGTGCTCCTCCCTACTCACCTTGTGCTCCTCCCCACTCACCTTGTGCTCCTCCCCACTCACCTTGTGCTCCTCGCCACTCACCTTGTACTCCTCCCCACTCACCTTGTGCTCCTCCCCACTCACCTTGTGCTCCTCTCCACTCACCTTGTGCTCCTCCCCACTCACCTTGTGCCCCTCTCCACTCACCTTGTGCTCCTCTCCACTCACCTTGTGCTCCTCTCCACTCACCTTGTGCTCCTCCCCCAGCACGCGTTCCGCCTCTCTCACGATCTGCATCGCCAGCTCCCGAGACGGCGCCACCACCACCGCCTCCACTCCCCCTCCCCCTCCCCCTCCCCCTCCGCCTCCGCCCCCCCCTGCGCGCCCCTTCTTGCCCCTCTTGCCCTTGCTGTCCCCCGCTCCCTCCCCTGCGTCGCCACCTGCCAGCCCAGTGGGGTCTGCATGCGCGCTGGGGCGGCTGAGCGGGCCCACAGAGGCGAGGATGGGCAGCAGATACGCGAGCGTCTTGCCCGACCCCGTGAACGACTGCAGCACCGCATCCGTGCCTGGTCAGAGGGGCCGGGAGGACGCGAACGGGGGGACGGGCGTGGAGGGAAATGGCAAGAACGGGGGGAGGTGGGGCGCAGTAAGAAGGGAGGGAAGATGGGAGAGAAGGAGGCAGGGAAACAGGGCGCTGCAGGCATCAATGGGGCTGTTAGGACGTAGGGGACGGGAATGGCGGAAAGGGAGGGGTGCGGATGGGGGGAGGGGGGGAAAGGGAGGGAAGAAGAGGAGAGAGAAGAAGGGACGTTGGGGCGGGGAGCAGGAGGCATGGGTGGGAGGGACGAGCTGATTGCAGTGTGAGGGGGAAGAATGGAGCATGTTGCGGGGATGAATGGGGAGATGCACAAGGGAAAGGGCGAGCGAGGAGGGAAGACAAGGGTTGGGCATAGGGGTTCAGGAAGGGGGATAGGGGACAAGCGTGTGAGGGAAAAGGATGGGTGACAGGGAGGAAAAGGGAGGGGAGGGGGGGAGGGCGGGGGAGAAGGAAGTAGAAGCACGGCCACTGGTTCACAGCCACTGTGCGAGGGCGAGCATCAGTTTCAAGGTTTAAGGTTCGGGGTTTAAGCTCCAGGGGAACTTTTAAGTTGACTCGAAAGTCACTGCGCACCTTGCATGAGGGCGGGCACGGCGCGTCGTTGGATGTCGGTGGGCTCGAGCAGCCCCAGCGACGCCACGCGCTCCGCCAGACTCGCGGGCAGCCCCAGCGAGTGGAAGCCGTCACTGCTCGAATCCACGCTCGACTCCAAGGCCGTCCTTCCTCCCCGCGCCGCGGCCGTTCCGCCCCGCGCCGACGCCGCTTCTCTCGCGCCTCTGTCACCGTCGCCTGATGCAGCGCCCACTGCGCCTGGCGCTGCGCCTGTCGCCGAATCCGCCCGCCCAGCATCCGCCTGCGCCGTGCCCGCTTGCGCACGAGGACGCGCGACTGGCGGACAAGGCGGGCTGCGCGCAAGGCGGAGAGGCGAGTGACAGAGAACGCACAGAATTGCGCGCAGGGGATGTGGCGGTCACTGGTACTAGACCGAACAAACGCGCCTCCGTGAATCGCGAGAGGCGCGTTGTGAGGGCGTGCGACGGCATGTGCAGCGCCATGGTCGGGGCGCTGCACGGCTTCCGTTATCGGAGCGCGCTGTGGTGTGGTGGAACCGTGCCGCGGAGGGTTGAGAGTGTAGACAGCGTGAGAGTAAAATATCCATTGTGGGTACGTAGGACGGGGGGTTTTGTGAATCGTGCAACCTTCAAGTCAGCCTCACAAACAAGCACATGCGAATCTCAGGAATGCGCAGTGGTTGGTCGTGGTATTGCCATTTCACAAGGGGTTGAATACGATATTGTACAATTCAGAGACTACCATGGCATGGACGTTTGCCGCCACAGTCGTTACTTTGACAGTAATTAGGTCATAAATTATCTTAGTCCACGACCCGCGACGTTCTTCAGCAAACGCGCGCGAAATTGGCAGCAGCGTTTTTAGTATGTGAGCATCGCCGCCAGTGAACATAAAAAACAAAAGAATTCTTCAAAGCGTGCTCGGGGTACGTAGGCGCCAGTGAGTAGAGAAGTACCGCGAACGCACACGCACACATAGTAAGCGTAGAAGTACGCATACATACGCTGGCTTTCAGGATGTGGAAACCCAACTTGGTCAGTATGTCTGACGTGGCACGACCAGTGCAGCCCTTACTCCGACGTGGCTCGCAGTGAATGGTGGTGTGCTGACGTGGACGACGATGCGGAAGATATTTGGCAAGTCGGGCAAGGCGGCCAAGCGGGCCGACGCAGCGAGAGGCAAGCCATCGTTACCCGAGCTATGATTACATTCGTGCTTTGCTAACGCCAGCGATACTAGCCAAGCCATCCTTGTTCCGCGACGCCTCTAGGCTTCGCGAATGTCTCCGACAACTATCCTGCCTCCCGCACGCCCTCATCGCCGCGCGCAATCTGTTAGCTCGTTCCGCTCTTTCTCGCCTCTGTATTTCCTCCCCTCCGTGTATCTTGCTCTCAAGCCTCTGCCACGCTGCATCCCCCTCTTCCTCTCCAGAATTGACTTGCTCCCCCCTAACTAACACCCCCCCTCCCCCCTCCCTCCCCCTCTCCTCTCAGCCGCCCCCATCCATGCCGCCTGTGTGCGGTTTTCCCTGGCGGACATGCTAACCGCGACGAACCACTGGGCACCGCAGATGCACCTGGGCGACGACGGCTACCGCGATCTGTTCAAGGGCGTGGACCCGCGCGACGGCGCCACCCCGTGGCTCCTCAAGCGCTGCCGCTTCCGCGAATTCGAAGAGTTCCAAGCAGAGGTGGGAAGGGCGGGAGTGTGAGGGAATGGAGGGAAGAGTGTGGTGTTGGAGAGTAGAGAGAGGAGACGGGGAGGAGAGGGGGAAGGTGCAGAGGTGAAAGTCAACGGAGCAGCGAAGGAAAGTGATGCAGGGCTGCGACCCTGCAGCCACTTCATCTGGGCTGTTTAGACGACTAGCTATTGGATGTTGCTGGTTGAACCACAGACCCCACACGCTCACACACTTCCCGTTGACATCCTCTTCAACCTCTTCCCACGGGGAGTCTGTCTGATGCCGCCATGCTGCCATACTGCCATGCCGCCATGCCGCCATGCTGCCATGCCGCCATGCTGCCCTGCTGCCCTGTGATGCTGCCGTACTGCCATGCTGCCATGGCCTATCCTTCTCCTCAAAGCAGGTTCCTCAGTGGGACAGCAGCATACAAGTAGGTCGTCGTGGAGCCAAGGCAGGCGAAGGAGGAAAGAACACGTGTGGACCACTGCTCGACTTATCCTCTCCCTCCCCCTTCCACCCGCTCCCCACCCCTCTGGCTGGCCCCTGGTCAAGTTGCCCCCAGGTGGCGGAGATGGGCAACAAGAACCACCCCAACCTGCTGCGCCTGCTGGGGTACTGCGATGAGCAAGACAGGCAGGGGCGGTGGGTGCAGGTGGTGGTGTATGAATTCATGACAGCTGGCAGCCTGCTCGACAAGTTTGGACCAGATGGTGAGGCAGGGCTCACCTCTCATGATGCAAGTGCTTGCGTGCCCATGTCGTCGCCAACAGTGCAGTAACCATGCCATGCCATCTCCCATATAGTAGGTGCTTGCGTGTTCTTCCTCGCCCCTGTTCTCCTCGTGTTCTCTCTGCGTTTGACTCTGTTATGTCTGCTTGCCTAGCATCCGTCCATCGCATGTATTTTTTCCGTTACGCTGGTCCATGGCATTTCAATTTACCAGCGTATTATTTCTTTTCTCCTTTCCTCGCAGGTTGCACCGCCGGTGAGCACCTGAGTCCTGACCCTGCAGCAGTGGGTGGGCATTCTAATAGGAGTGGCACGCGGGCTGGAGTATCTGCACAGCTTTGGCATCGTGCATCGCTGTCTTAGCCTTAAAAACATTCTACTGGATGGCAGCATGCAGGTGAGCGAGTGTGCTGTGACGGCACTAAACACGAACATGCTGCAGAGTCTTGACGTGTGGAGCAACATTCCCACCCCGCCCCGCACGTCACTGCACCACACAGCACCACATTCTCCAAGACAACACCACGCCAGGCGAAGATTGCAGGGTTTGAATACGTCTCGCGCAGGGCGGCAGCAAGTGGAGAGGACGTGGTGGTGGGCGAGCTCGAGTACGTGGACCCGCACCTGCTCACTGAGCAGCCCACACCCACCAATGACCTCCACAGGTGCCAAGCCCATCTCTTCCTCTCAGTCCGCCCATCTTTGTTGCAAAATACGCCAGACACGTCATTTATGCTTTTAAGGGATTACACTGGCGTACAGTGTTAAACTGCTGCATCCCGTACTGGCTCACTCGCCATCTGGTTACCAACTCAGCATCTGGTTACCAACTCAGCATCTGGTTACCAACTCACCATCTGGTTACCAACTCACCATCTGATTACCAACTCATCATCTGGTTACCAACTCACCATCTGGTTACCAACTCACCATCTGGTTACCAACTCACCATCTGGTTACCAACTCACCATCTGGTTACCAACTGACCATCTGGTTACCAACTGACCATCTGGTTACCAACTCGCCATCTGGTTACTGACTCGCCATCTGGTTACCAAGTCACCATGTGGTTACCCCTAGCCTAGTGCCCCCTCTCCTGCCCATGGTGCTCGCTGTTCAAAGGCATTGTGGGCTTTATGTAGTTTGGTTTCTCTTGAAACCCAACTGCACGCACATGGAGGCTGGTTTGTTGCTCCCGTTTGCATGCCTCTTCCATGCTCCTCCACTGCCATACTCCTCCACTGCCATGCTCCTCCACTGCCATGCTCCACTGCCATGCTCCTCCACTGCCATGCTCCGCTCTCAACTCTCTGTGCTACCCCACACTCGTTCCTTCTCCATCCTTCCCTTTGCCCCTGTGTCCTGCCTGCTCCCCCTTCCCGCCCATCTACTGCCCGCCGCCACCAGTCTGGGGGTGGTGCTGCTGGAGCTGCTGTCAGGCCACCGTGCTTTCACGCAAGAGGAGAACGTGGAACCGATCAGAGACAGTGTGAGTGCGAGCCAGTGGAGCATTGGGGGGTGGGCGAGTGTTGTGTTCCGAGGCGTGCCAGCTTTGCTGTACCGCCCGCCATCACTGGCTGTGTTTTAAGCAGGATTCCGTTTTGGAGACGTCTCAGAATCTTCCATCCGTTCACTGCAGTCATGAGGCAGCAGCGGACTTAACCACCCAAGGGTGTGGCCCACAGAAGAAGACCCCCGCACTCCTATCTTTTCCTATCGCAACTGGGAACTTCTTTTGTTTGTTTTTTTTTTGCTCTACTGCTTGCCTTTGCCTCCTCGCATCTCGTGCTTGACTCTCCTCACATCCCTCTCATGCCCCGCCTCTCGTGCTCGACTCTCCATGCTCCTCCCCCCATACTCTCCCCCCATGCTCTTCTCCCCATGCTCCTCCACCTCACTCCTCGCCTCCATGCTTCCCACCAACCAGTTTCCCAGCATCTGCCTACCTTCTTTGAGTCATACTGTTTCTGTTTTTGGGGTTCATGTTTCAAGTCGTCAGCATCTGACTTCCTCCCCCCAACCTTCACCGCGCACCAGGTTGAAAGGCTGCTTCCTGCCAACAAATTTGCTGCTCTTTTTGATCCTGCCCTCGCATCCTCCTTCCTCCCATCCACCACCAGCATCCCTACCAGCTCCAGCGTCCTTAGCATCCCTTCCAGCAACTCCAGTGCACCATCATTGCAGACACAGCAGCTGCCAACGCTGCTGATGCTACACTGGGCGTTCCCATACCGAATGTTCTTATACCGAGATTCCCGGACTCCTATCTTTCCTTATCGCAACTGGGAACTGTTTTCTTTTTGTTTTACTGCCTGCCTTTGCCTCCTCCCATCCCTCATGCTTCTCCCACCATGCTCCTCCCCCCATATTCCCCCCTTCATGCCTCTCTTCCAACCTGTTTCCCAGCATTCACCCCACTTCTCTGGATCAAAGTGCATGTCTAAATTCAGCATCTGACTCCCCTCCTCTGCCCTTCGCCCTGCACCAGGTTGAATCGCAGCTTGAAGCCAACGACTTGGCTGCTCTATTTGATCCCTCCCTCACCTCCTCCTTCCTCCCACCCGCCACCAATACCAGCATTAGTATCCCTAGCAGCAGCACCACCAGCAGCTTCAGCACGCTCTCTGGTGCCGCCAGCACCACCACGGCAGGCACAGCAGCTGCCAGCGCTGCTGATACTACACTGGGCGTTCCCATACCGAATGTTCTTATACCCAGTTTGGTGCGGCTGGCTCGTGTCGGGCTTGCAAGCACAGCCATGCCTGCTTCCACCCGACCCTCCTTGGGAAGAGTTCTTGCTGAGCTGGAGATTGTGCGGGATGACGTGGCAACAGCACTGAGGAGGATGGAAGAAAAGGTGGAGAAGAAAGAAGGGGAATTGCAGGGAGGGAGGGTTGCCGTGGCAGGCAATAGGGGAAATGAGCATTTGGACTCGTTGGGCAATCCTTCCCTCGCTAACCCTTCCTCCACATCTCCTAATCCTTCCACTGCTCCGTCGCAGCTTCCTCCTCCTCCGCCCTCCCCCCGGCGCCGCTGCTGTGCCAGCAGGTAGGTATGGCGGACGTGCTGCGTGCCACGGCCGGGTGGGCTGCGGAGAGGCGCATTGGCAGCGGCGGGTTTGGCGAAGTGTATCGCGGCGTGAGCCTCTTGGATGGGTACATGCCCTGGGCTGTGAAGTGCGCCAGAGTGCTCACCAACAACTTCCGACGTGAGGTGTGGTTGGTGTAATGGTGGGGGTTGATATATAGCTCCTCGCGTCAATTCTTTGCTTGTGTATTAGGCAATATAAATGCGTGCTTGTGTTTGTTTGTGATGAACACTTTGTGAATGTAAATTGCTCTATCAACGCATTGACGCGAATGGCTATTCTGCACACGCACCTATTAACCGTCTAACGCAGCGCAATTGAGCTTGGGAATGCTCTCAGTATACACGACCATTTTCACACTTGGGAAAATTCCTCTACAAACACGGACCCTTGGTTAAGGGTCCGTTTTGCCAGGCATCCGAGGACCCTTGGAGATGACCCCGTAGGGACTACCTAAAGTGTATTAAAGGTGTGCTTTGTTGGGAACAAACAATCTTAAGCGCCTCTGTCGTGTCGAAACACCAAGGCACAAGCGAAGCAGAGCATATCGAGGCACCAGCGAGTCAACCCTCGGAGGTTGAAGTAACCGCTGGAGGTTACGCAAAAGTCAAAGGTCAGCGACCTTTGACTTGACAAATGCAGCACGACAGCAAGGACACACAACTGACTCGACATTGAGCAGTTGCCCGAGTCGCACTTTATCGAACCGCAACAGTAAAACAATTTAATTATATCTCTTCGTATTCTTTGTACTCGTATATAAACCTTTGTACTTGCTTGTTTTAATTAACTTACTTTGCCCTTGTTGGGCTGAGAAATAGCCCTTAGGATCTTTGCAGAGGAGAACTCTTGGGTAGAAACTTGTAATAGCGGAAGCGTTTTAATGAGGATTGTGAACCGACCTTGCACTGGTGTGTGAGAGCAAAGTAGATTAAATTGAACAAGCAAATACAAGGATTTATATAAGAGTACAGGGAATAGATAGATAGATAACTGTATTGCTGTTGCGGTTCGATACAGTGCGACTCGGGCAACTGCTCTGTAACGAGTTAGTTGTGTGTCCTTAACTGTCGCGCTGTAATTGTCGAGTCAAAGGTCAACGACCTTTGACTTTCTCGTAACCTCCAGGCGGTTACCCTAACCTCCGAGGTTGACTCGATGCTTCGATTGGGACTGCTTCGCTTGGTGCCTTGGGTCTTGGTACGACAGAAGCGCACTTAGGACTTATTGTTTCCAACAGCCCTCACATACCAGCGCAAGGTGGTTCAAGGACTTCATTTAAACGCTTCCGCTACTACATCACTCTACCCAGAGTTTAACCCTACCAAAGATCCTAAGGGGCACTCAGCCCAACATGGTATGAGAGCTGGTTAGGGTAAAATTATTTCTCCTTAACACCTGCTACACCAAGAGACATGTCTACCAGAAAGGAGAGGAGCTCCTCCAACGGCTCTCCTGGTACTAGTCCTACTCCACCTCCTGCCTCTGGCCTACAGACAGAGGAAGGCACAACAACGAGACCGGCAGCTGGGTCTACTGAAACACCCGCAAACCAAGGCACGGGATTCGATCCAATCATGATGGAGAAGTTCTTCTCCTTTATGTCCTTCTACGAGCAGCATCAGCAAGGAGCACCTGCGCAATCAAACAACAGCAACAACAACAACAACGTGACGCCCATGAGTCTCGATGGCTCATCCTACGCACGCGGGAATCAACAACAGCAACCTACCTTCGCTCCGTACGAGCCCCAGCGCGGCTCCGTCAGCTTCATGCCACAACCACAACCTGCACCGGGACAAGAGAGAACGCTGGACGCACTACAAGTTCAGTCGCAGTTCGCGCACGTTCTAAAACTGCAAAGGACAAAACCCTTCGACGGGAAGGATTTCTTTACCTGGTCGTTCGAATTCGAGCTGATGATGGAAGGAGCGCAAATCCTTGGCTTCTTCGATGGGTCCCTGCCATACCCAACAAACGGCACACAGTATGAGAAGCAGCAGTACACCTATCAATCGATGATGGCGTACACGATACTACTGAGGAACATCACTCCAATTCAACAACAAAACATACGGTCTTACCGAGGCTACGGCAACTCCGCAGAGCTCGCGTACAATTACTTGAAGAGCCTGTATCAAGCAACAGACAGCGTAAACCAAAGTCGGTTAATGGCGCAGCTGACAACAATCGAAATGAAACCAGGCGAGAAGGGAATGGCGTATATCAGTCGCTGCCGCGAGCTGCGCGACAAGATTCTTCGATGTGGAGGATCGATTTCAGAGGACGCCTTCGTCACGGTTGTCATCAGCGGTCTTGGTCCTCACTGGCGCTCCACTCGCGCCATACTACGAGCCCACGGACAAAATCCACGCCGAGCAGCAAGACATGGACCTGCAAGAAGAACGACACAAGAGAAAGGTATTAGTGCACGAATTCGCGTTTCACACTCAACGGCGCCACAACAACAACAACAACAACAACAATCGATCGAAAATCGTACCTCCGTTCTGCCACCTCTGCAAGACTTCAGGGCATCCTCGTACGCACTGCCCGAATCGACAACAGTCAACGTCGCCGCAACGCCAACTTTGCCCTTCAAGCAGTCAAGTCGCCTCAACGCAAGCAAATCCGACAACTTCAGTACAAGTCTCAACAACATCGACGGGACAGCCTGCGAAAGGAACAAGAAACATCATCAGCTGCATGGCAAGGCTGAGTGACTCCTGCCTCGCCGCGAGTCACTTCAACCGAACCCGACGTATGCCGCCATCGCTCAAAGCAAGCCGTCCGGGAAGGATACATGGTTCTTGGACAGTTGCTGCGGACAACATATGTGCTCTTCCGGACGTTTCGTTCAACGCGAGCACCAACTTCAACGAGAAGTCGTCATCACTGTCACCAATAATCAGAACCTGTGCACACGACGACAAGGAGTAGTGCAACTTCAGTCACGAGAGACGAATGTCATACTGCAAATGTCCAAAGTCCTAATAGCAGAAGGACTTGGCTACAACTTACTGAGCGTCAGTCAGTTGATGGCGAAAGGCATACATCTGGAAGCGGACAGTACCACCCAAGAGTTCAAGCTGTACCACGGGAAGGGCGGCCTCTACATCGGAAAGGCGATCCTGAAGAACAATGTCTTCGTTCTCGATTTCGTCCCAGACCTGGGCACCGCAGATAGTGACGGGATCGTCACCTTCACATCTTGGATGCACCCGCCGTATCTCGACCCCGACTTCAGTCCGGAAGGCTTTTGGCATTCACATACCATTCCTGAAGCAGAACGAACACATGCGTTAGTAACAATACAACATTCGGCAGCAGCAGAGACAACATCGGCAGCAGCAGAGACAACATCGGCAACAGCAGAGACAACATCGGCAGTAGCAGAACCATCAACGGCAGCAGCAGGAACGTCAACACCAATCGCTGATCCTTCAACGACACCGCTCCTCATCGACGACACACCACCAACACCAGCGCAACAACTACAC